AAATTTTAAGCATAGGTACAGATTTTTTTTTTTTTGGTCTGGTAAATATTTGTATGCACTTTAGTTTCTATTTATGAGTTCCAATTAGTCATACTTAGGCATTGACTATGTTACTACTATTTTTTTCAAGTCTGCAAATATAAGAAACGTTAAGTAGCAAATTCTAAAATAGTTAAAGTTACACTTTTTATGTCTGTGACTGGTGATTAGAGGTTAACTTGGAAAAGATGAGCTTAGTCATCTTTGCTTAGAGTAGTCTAGGGAGGAGATGGTACTGCATTTAAAGTCAGAAGACCTTGAGTTAAATTTCACTTCTACTTTTAGTCCTTCTGAATGACTATTTTGTTATTTATGAAATGTAATTAATAACCACTAATATCATAAGGGTTTCAAGAACATTGAATATGACAGTGTTGCAGAGCACCCTTGTTCACTGTCTGACATGATTTGATTGCTACCTCTCTGTGATGGTGGATGCTGCTGGATCAAGTCCTAACTGTGGTTTCTAGGTGGAGTGGAAGTCACATAAGGTGGGGCCAGCCATTCCGACTGCGCCATGTCACAACAGGAAAATACTTGAGTCTCCTGGAAGACAAAAGCCTTCTCCTCATGGACAAAGAGAAAGCCGATGTCAAGTCAACAGCATTTACTTTCCGGTCTTCCAAGGTAAGACACAAGATGTCATCTTGGACTTTCTGCAAGTGTATTCCCATTGCATTTTCTTTGAGGTTAGAAACACAGAAGAGAAATGTTTTTTCTAAATCCCCAGTTTCTCTTTCATCCTCTCCTCTCCTGTAAAACCAGTTTCCTAAATCTCTGAAACCTGCACACGGTCTTCCTGGGTTTATGGTTCTTTGGTTATTTACATACAGCAGCACATCCTTTGAGCTCCTTCCCGTTTTCTTACACATCCACAGTCCAGTTGCTGCAAACCTTGTTAAGATGTTGTAAAACAGTATGAAGATTACCCATACCCGGAATCTTTTTCTCAAAGATGCACATCTACTCTTATATGCAGACCTTTCTTCTTTGCTCTGCTGAAGCATTTTTAGGATCATGTATATTTCTGTCCTTAAATTTAAAGAAGATTGTGAAACTTGGGCCTGATGGTAGGGATGGTATTGAACTCCTGGTAGCTTTTGTCTTAGCAAGCAAAACTGGACGCTCCTGTTATGGATAAAGGTTTGATTTTGTATTTCTGAGATTAGTATATACTCATCTGGATACAGGCAGCTTAAGAATGTTATTCAGGGATCATCTTTTTTTTTTTTTTTTAAACTTATTACTTGTTTCTTTTCATTACTAGAAAGTTCTAAGGATTCTATCACCCTTCCCCATAGTTTGTATTCTACCTGAATTCAAGCTGGATTTTTTTTTTTTTTGTCTTTTGTCTTTTTTCCGTGTCCGGCAACGGATCGCAACCCTC